AGGTATACAGCTAGTCATAACATTGAGGTTTTTTTTAGTGAAATTCAGTCATTTTACATTCACATGAATATGATTCCCTGCAAATAAAGATGACTTGGGAATTTAATTGTTTCTGATTAATGCAGTTCTTATGTGATGCATACATCTAAAGCTGGAACGCACACGTTTAAATAATTTACTGATTAACGAATCGATCTTTTTTATGTAAGCTGCTCAAAGAAGGTCCTTGAGAAGCCTCTTCATGCATGGGTTACTGAAGTTGCAAATGGTAAAATACAAGCAGCGAATTGCATGTGCATATCTGGACTTGGAGAGGTCTGCACTCATGCTGTTGCCTCTTTTTTTTTTCTTCAGTATAGCAGCTGCCGGAAAGATACTTCAGTGAAAGACCTCCAAGTGATGCTGTCTGTTTCCCACATCCTTCAAAACTTTAGGCTACATATAATAACAAAACTTCTGCCAGAACTCTGAAGAAACCTCTAGACAGAAAAAGAATTGTCAAACAGTACCGATGATAACAAAATCAACCAGATTTAAAATTCTTCACCTGACACTCTAACCAGTTTCCTTTAAAAACAATTGTGACTCGTGCATGTCTCCTGTTCAAATTTGTCAGTAGTTCATTTCTTCTGTTCATATTTACGCGGTGTACATCTTGTAGGATAAATTCTTTGACTAATGAATGTCTCCTGTTAAGTTCTATGCGTTTTTCAGATCTTCCATACAGCTGAGTTGTGCATTTTGTTCTGTTCATATCCGTGTCTTGTGTTTGTTCTCCTTTCAGTTATGTGATTTTTCTATTCTTTTGAGATAACCCATCTTGTATAACCCATTATTTTACTTCTATAACATATCTTGTATAACTCATTCGTTTACTTACATAACCCATATTGTATAACCTATTATTTTACTTGTACAACCCATCTAAAATAACCCATTCCTTTACTTGATTACTCCATCTTAAATAACTCAATCTATAACTTGTATGACCAATCTTTTATAATCCATTATTTTACTTGTATAACCCATCTTGTATAACCCATTCTTTTACTTGCATAGCCCATCTTGTATAACCCACTCTTTTACTTGTATAGCCCATCTTGTATAACCCATTCTTTTACTTGTATAACCCATCTTGTAAAACCCATTATTTTACTTGTATAACCCATCTTGAATAACCCATTTTTTTTTCTTGTATAACCCGTCTTGTAAAACCCATTCTTTTACTTGTATAACCTATCTTGTATAACCCATTATTTTACTTGTATAACCCATCTTGTATAACCCATTCTTTTACTTGTATAGCCCATCTTGTATAACCCATTCTTTTACTTGTATAACCCATCTTGTAAAACCCATTATTTTACTTGTATAACCCATCTTATATAACCCATTATTTTACTTGTATAACCCATCTTATATAACCCATTATTTTATTTGTATAACCCATCTTGCATAACCCATTCTTTCATTGTATAACCCATCTTGTATAACCCATTATTTTACTTGTATAACCCGCCTTGTAAAACCCATTCTTTTACTTGTATAACCTATCTTGTATAACCCATTATTTTACTTGTATAACTCATCTTGTATAACCCATTCTTTTACTTGTATAACCCATCTTGTATAACCCATTATTTTACTGGTATAACCCATCTTGTACAACCCATTCTTTTACTTGTATAACCTATCTTTTATAACCCATTTTTTTACTTGTATAATCTATCTTGTATAACCCATTATTTTGCTTGTATAACCCATCTTGTATATCCCATTATTTTACTTGTATAATCCATCTTGTATAACCCATTATTTTACTTGTATAACCTATCTTATATAACCCATTATTTTACTTGTATAACCTATCTTGTATAACCCATTATTTTGCTTGTATAACCCATCTTGTACACCCCATTATTTTACTTGTATAACCTATCTTTTATAACCCATTATTTTACTTGTATAACCCATCTTGTATACCCCATTATTTTACTTGTACAACCCATCTAAAATAACCCATTCCTTTACTTGATTAATCCATCTTGAATAACTCAATCTATAACTTGTATGACCAATCTTTTACAACCCATTATTTTACTTGTATAACCCCTCTTGTATAACCCATTCTTTTACTTGTATAACCCATCTTGTATAACCCATTCTTTTACTTGTATAACCCATCTTGTATAACCCATTATTTTACTTGTATAACCCATCTTGTATAACCCATTATTTTACTTGTATAACCCATCTTGTATAACCCATTCTTTTACTTGTATAACCCATCTTGTATAACCCATTCTTTTACTTGTATAACCTATCTTGTATAACCTTTATTTTACTTGTATAACCCATCTTGTACAACCCATTCTTTTACTTGTATAGCCCATCTTGTATAATCCATTATTTTACTTGTATAACCTATCTTGTATAACCCATTATTTTACTTGTATAACTCATCATGAATAGCACAATAATGCTCATATTGCCTGAATTTATGCAAATTAAAAATATATTTCTTCCCTTGCCTATTACTTACCCTTTTACCTACGAATTGATGTACTAAGCATAAAGGATAATCCTCATCAGTCGTGAACAATCTATGTCATTTCTCTCCGATGTCTAGTTTCATAACATTTTATATCCATCCTCCCCGGCATTTTCCTTGTTCCATATTAACAGATCATTCACTTTTTTTCTTCTCTTATCCGGACGTTACATGTTTTTTTATTACACGTCAATGTCATGTCTCTTTCCGTTAATAATATCCTCAAGATATAACCAAGTCGGAATTCCAATAGTTCCCATTTCCAGCATTTGGAATATTGCTTGATAAGCTAAACTGAACGCCTGTATCATATTTATATTGCAAGAACAACGTACCATGCATATACTACATACAAAACGTACCATGCTCATACTGTATACAAAACGTACCATGCCTCATTTTGCATACAAAACCAGGTCAAACATATATACTTTATATTGATAGAGTCCTTCTGGCGTCACAAATGCCGAAATTTCCTTTGCCCTTTATGTTAATGGAATTTGGAGAAAAAAAAATACTTTCAGAAGGTCAAATTTCCAATTTTATCAATACTATCATCGATTCTTGGTAATGGAAATTAATCTGTTTTTCTCACACTGTTCACCTTCCTATAATCAGCGCACATACAGAAAGTTTTACCTGGTTTCGGAGTAAGTAGACAAGGTGAACTCAAATCTTTTTTACTCGGCCCTTTGAAATTGTTCTTGAGCAAATATTTAATTTTCTTTTACAAGTATTCCTGTTTGAGAGAGTTTATCCTGTATGGATTTTGTTTTACAGATTTGGAATCTACAGTTTTAACATCATGAACATTTTTGTTTGTCCTCCTTGGATTATAAAGAAACAACTGCTCAGATAGTATCTGTATAAGCTCAGTCCTTTCTTCTTCTTGTAAATGCAAATGTTTTAAATCCATTTTTTTTCATAATTTCCGAATTCCGAAGATCTGTTTCTCCAAGATCCACAGAGTCCGATTGAATTTCATCAACTTAATCTTCAGTTTGTGGAACAGGTACAACTAAATTAATTGCATAATTTACTTGGCTATCTCTTTCAATATACCAGTACTCAATTAATTTATTTAGCTAAGAGTACTATTCTTATAATTTTAACTCATTCAGTTCCTTTTTACTTTGTAAGAGTTGTAAAATCTAATTTGAAGAAAAGTTTGAAGAATCAGCAAGAAAGAATGAACTCTATTACAAGACTCCAAAGTTCTCTCAATAAAAGTTCTGTGAAAACATAATTTCACTTTCGACTTGAACCACAGAGTGCCAGATTCAAGCATAACAAGCTGGAAAATCCTAGACTTTAAACTTGACCTTTGACCTGATTGAACAGATTTGGGAAGGCCAGATTGAGTAAAACATTTATCAAAGCTTTTACTGTGGTTCTGGATACAATAATCCTCAACGGAAATGCCTCTGGGAATCTTGTTGATGCACATATAATGTTTAACAAATATTGGTTGCCTGTCTTGGTCTTAGGTAAGGTGCCAACATAATCTACAAACATTTTCCTAAATGGATCGTCAAATGTAGGAATAAATTGCAGATGAGCCTTAGTTATTTTTTGAATGGGTTTTCCTACCATTTCACATGTATGACAAGATCTACGAAATCTACAAACATCACTTTTGCATTTTGGCCAATAAAAGTGCCAATATATTTTAATACTTTTTATTTCTCACTAAGTGACCAGCCAGAGGAGTTCCATGGGCCAAACTAAGTATTTCCTGTCTGTAAGAGTTTGGAACTAATCTTACAGTTCACTGACCACTCGTCATCAGCAGGTACCTCCGGAAGTCTCAATTTTCTCATAAGAATTCCATTTTTAATGAAGTAATAGACAGGTACTTCATTTGCTTCCAATTAACTAATGGCCATTTGAAATAAAGAAGACTTCTCATAATCTTTTACCTGTTGAACGACAAGTGATTTTCGTTTATCAACCTGATTACATAAAAGAGAATGGGTATTTAAAAGAGGATCACTGTGTTTAATACATTTTTATTCATCCAAAGTATTATTAAAAGTGACCTCATCAAAAGCCTGACCAGTACATGTGTCAGCTAAAGGAATAATTTACTTATCAAAACCATTCTCAAGAGCTTTCTTTGCCATAGCGATCGTAACTGCACAAGCTGAGTATAAATCAGGTTCTTCGTTTTCAATACGATCATTTTTCGGATCCATAGAAAGTATGTCAGTTACAAGTGGATTAACAACAATCTTTTCTCCAGTTAGGTTGATGCCAAGTAACAAATGAATGCCCTCAACAGGTAAAGGAAATCAAATACCGATTGTCACAGGTCCTGAAACTACGTTTGATGATAAATTTACAGAATAGAGAGGAACATTAACAAATCCGAACTTTACTCCCTGAACGAGAAAACTCTCAATAGAACAGGAACGCTCAGAGAAAGGCAAAGTACCTGATAATAAAAACC